GTACGCATCTCAGCTACAGATCAGACTGTATCAGTACAAGCATATAAGCCTCCATGCTTACAGCTACCTAGTGCACCAGTCCAACAGTTTGTTGTCAGTATCCTAAAGATCACTCATGTGTCCTTAACTTTTTTTCTATGAAATTGTTCACTGTACCTCCAAATCCAGGTACATAAGAGAAAACCAATAACTTGTATATTTCTTTATCTCTCTAACATATGTTTCTGTCTTTTCACTCTCTCTCATCATGTAGGTCAGCACCCAGATAGATAGTCAGGCAGGGACTTCATCTAACTAGTTACTTATATCCTATCAGGTCATATAAACCTCATCCCATGTCCTAAGCCACTTCAAATCTTCACATAAGTTAGCTGTAGTAAGTGAATTAGATGGAGTTGTGGTGATTGGACACAAATTTTCTGGTAGACAAAAAAAAAGTAAGGCAGCCAAACTGTAGAGAGGTTTTTTGGTTTGGTCCATGGATTTGAGCCAGTGAGTTTTTTTTTTTTTTTTGATCACTAAATCAACTATTGAAAAGATTTAAGGTCTCACATCAGGAAATATTTCAGTTAGAGGACCTTTGAGTAAAATTCTTTTTACATAAATAATAAAGGTCAGAAGGGAATTAAGAGTTGGGATAAATTCAGTAATGGCACCAGTGACTAGTTCAAATGGTTAGTATCCAGCTCAGGCAGGTTTAAACAAGTTTCCAGGAAACCTCAGAAATCTACTCTGCTAGATTTAGAAGGCTAAGGCTCAAGTCACTTAAGTAAGACTTGTGAAGGAGGACTCCAAGTTATCACTTTATAGATTTGACTTCAGGAAGACCAGTCACCCTGTCTGTATCAAGGTGACTTGTCAACAAGAGCAGACAAAGTACTTTTTTAGTTCTCTGATTGTTCTCATTTTTTACCCAGAGCCAGCACATGAGCCTTTGCTTTATGCAAAGTAACTTCCTTTTCTTTTTTCTCAATGCACCATGTGCTGAAAGGTGTGTACTGTATGCCTGTGTATCACTGCATGGTTCACAATTGTACTGATGTTCATGAGCTGACATCATGATGAAC